TGGAGAGCAAGAGACAGTGAGAGGGAAAATGAGAAATCGCCCCTCAGAGGGGATGGCCACACTGAAATCCTTTCTCCAGTCTCCTCCTGGCATCCTGGGCATGCATGCATATGTACCTAGTGTAAGTCTCAAGTCACTAGTCTGGGACTTGAATCATGGTCGGCCATGTGGGAGTCTAGCAACATAACAGTTATTCCATCTACTGGCCCCAGGGACTGTTTCTTTCATAATACACCTTTCCATGACGATTTTGTTAAACACTTCTATGCACATGCATCTTTTTAAAAAGGTTATTCATTTATTTCTGCCACGAGTGAGACAGAGATTTGGCACCCTCAACTGGTTCTCAATGTTGAGCTCCATCCTGGCCTCCAGTCAGCCTTGGATTGTGGGCATGCATGTACCTGGTATACTCAGGGAGTTCTCTGGACTTGAGTCAGCCACCTTCTCCTGTAGGATTGCCTCCTAGAGTCATTTTTTAGCACTTCACCCCTGTCGGGTCTGGGAATGTGTGTTTTATTGAGAAAATAAATTACATAAATATCAGTAGAGTGCATGGAATATGCAGTGGCTCAGTATTTCATATAAATTATTATTATTGAGGAATATGTTATGAACGAAGCTCTGCTTTGCTTTACTATTTTCAAATATGTATAAAAGAAGCCATGTTTTGTTCTGCTGCCCTGTGAATATTAGTTTAGTTTTTGAAATGTTACATTTCTCAGGATGCCCAAGCATAGGCAAAAATATGAACTGTTTACAGACTCAAAAGATAGTGAATTGACCACTTAGATACAGTCAATGTTTACACTGATAAAACTTATTTTTAATAATGAAATCTTAATATGCTTAGTAAAATATGTTAAAATAAATGTACCAAAACTAAAACTTCAGACTATCCAATTATGAGCAATTTAAGTCTACTAAAAAAATACCAAACTCAATAACAATCATACCATTAGCAAGGTTTATTTATGTTTTGTTTTCCCTAGTATTTAATTTTTATTCATATTATTTGATCATGGATGGATCTGGTCTCTCAGAAACATGACACACAGTCAACCTAAAAGTTAAAAAACTATAAATAAAATGTGATGCTTATGTATACATATATGTTCGTGAATATAAATATAAATGCTTGTGCATATATTTGTGTTTATGCATATATATACACATATATATTTTTTTTTAGAGAAAGAGAGAGAGTACATTTTATAAGTTGACCCACTGAATCATAATATTTATGTTTAAGAAATAAGAAAGGCATTTACATTAGTTTACTGATAAAGGCATAGCATTCCCACTGGGTCTTTTACCTTCATTCCCCACTCCCCACCCCCACTGTGACATTCTGGTAACATTTTATACTTCCAGTAACTATCCTTCAGAATATTTCTACAATTTCAGTTTTATCAATTATTTAGTTGCCTCAGATTTGCTCAATTCAATTAAAGTCAGTAAGATTTCTTCCTAAAAGCAAAAGCCTCCCTGTATAGAGAAAAATCATTATACCTCTTCATGTGTTTTATATATCCAGTTATATAAAAAGATCTATGGGTGCTGCCAGATTTAAAAAATAGTTATATGGTTGAAATTGCAGAATATTGTAAGACAGTTTTTATCTCCAAATGGAAAACAGTTTGAAAACAAATACTGTAGATAAAAGTTTAACACTAGCATTTGTAGCTTATTTTAAGAAGCCAGCACAAAAAAGATAATGTTGATTTTCAAAGCAGAAGGATATAGACTTTTACCTAAACTGCAACACCCACATATACAAATACAGAGAATTGCAATGCTTTGCCTTCAATTGTTTTAGTTACTGATTCTATTTAACACTTTATTGATAATGAAATTATTTCCTGAATATGTGATACTTTTAAACATTATAAATTTGGCATAGAAAGGATCTATTTTATAGTCTGGCTTGCTTGGCTCAACATTAAATCTTTTGTTTTGAATTAGTTGCCAGAGTCTCTTTTTTATGGCTGAGTAGTAGTCCATAGTGCATATGTCTCCACTTAAAATATACTGACTGTCTGCAATCTATGGCAGAAACTGAAAGATTGGCAGTATAACAGCAATGAGGGCAACTGCATATTCTAGAAAGAATATGGGGAGGAGTGGGTAAGAGAGAGTGAGAGAAAGGGGATCAGGAATAAAAGAAAACATTTATCAGACACAAAAATGAAAAGTGTCTTGTAACTTGCAGTGCTTGAGAGAATTATTCAAGTCTGCTCAAATATCTAGCATATCCTAAAACAAATGTATGGGTTATAATAGAAAGAAATACATATAATCGACCAGAGTCAGTGCTGGACAGTGACACAGCAGTAAAACACATGGCTCTGTGAGGCTGATACACGTAGAAAAACTCCAGGTCTGTATTGGTGCCCATGATTTGAAGCTGAGCATGGACTTGGCATCAAGATCCCGACAGGGGTGTGTTTTCTCTCTCTTTCTCATAGAAGACACAATAAAATAAACTTAAAAAAAAATCAGTCTATAACCCCTCCACCCCCCAAAAAAAAGTAGACTAAATTTTAAAAGTCAGCATTTTGGTTTCACCACTTGGCAACCCAAGGGTAGTCTGGGAATAAATAGGATTAATATCAGGACTGACTCAACCTCACTTGAAGGAAATAGGAATATAACCTTTCCAGACCTAAAAGCTCTAAAGATATTTTACTACTAAGGAAACTTTGGGTTTTGTGTTGCCAATCTTCACTCTCACATTAAAGTGTAAATATTCATAGGATGCAGTGCTATGTTAAATTGTTATCACACTTTCATGAAGTGTGAAATCTCAAGAGACAGCTTTATGGTGTTATAAGGCCCACATTGAGATCCTGATTTTACCACTTTTGAATAAATAGATCTTGGAGGTCATTCCTCTTAGGCAAAACTCTGTTTTCTCACCTGTGAAATGTACACATTGAGAATGCCTGACGCGGTAAATGTCTGTTTTGACTGAAATGATAGGTGAGTGTATGGCTTACGGCTGAACCCGGCGTACCAGTACGGTCTGTAGCAGTCTTTCTATGAGCTGGCCACTGAATGATTTCATGGTATATTGCACCTTTGATGGAAATGTGAACGGTAGCTTTCATGGGAAATCCTGCGGAGGCTCACAGGCACATGTGTATGGAAATCTCTGATGAGCAGAACTGTCAGAACGAGTAAGAAGGATAGGTATGCAGATGGTTGAGAATTGTCTAAAATTCTTCTTTCAGAATTTTTCCAACTGACCATATTTCATACTTACCATTCCTTTTCTATTTTTAAAAAAAAAAATTGTCAGAAGATATGTGCACTCACTGGAGAGAGACACACAGAGAGAAACAAGACAGAGAGAAAGTGGGAAAGCATTCCCCATGAGAAATGGTTATGTCACAACCCTTTATGCTCCATTTCTCCTTTCAGGATTTTGGACACGAATGAACATACACTTGGAGTATTTTTCAAGCTGCTGGGTCCAGGACTTGAACTGCACTGTTGGCCATGAGGGATCCAGCTGCGGCCATGAGGGATCCAGCTGCTTTAACTATCACATCACAGGCTGGTGCTGTCATTCTTCTTGGCTAGAGTTCCAGCTGAACTTTTTAAGTATATAGATTTAGAAAAAAAAAAATATATATATAAGCGAACCGCGGTCGACTACGTGGGAGTCCAGCGACATAGCCATTACGCTAACTGCTCATTCCCTAGAAAACTATATTTCTGTACAAACATGGTGCATTGGACCTATCTTCTCTAAGATTATGCTTGATGGTGCTTCTTTTAATCATGTCTTTAAAGTAACAATTCTGGTTATATAGCTGTATGTGGTTCAAGAGAAAGTGCCTGAGTTATACTCATCTCCTTACAGAGATTTGGTGGGCTTTTATTTTTTTAATTAAAAAAAATTTTAAAGGTTTTTGCCATAGGGTGTGTGCACTCACCAGAGAGACAGAGACAGTGACAGGGAAAGTGAGAAATCACCCTCCAAGGGGGATAGCTATGCCACAGTCCCTTCTTTTCCATTCTCTCCTTGGGATTTTGGTTAAAAATGTACAATGTACACATGCTCAATGAGATTTTCAAATCACCAGGTCTGGAGCTCAAACCATGATCAGCCATGTGGGAATCCATCAACTTTCATCACCTTTTTTTTTTTTTTCTTTTTTTTGGAGAGGTTTTTGCTACAGGGTGCGTGCTCTCGTCAGAAAGACAGAGATAGAGAGACAGAAAGCGAGAAAGCACCCCCCATGGGGGATGGCCACGCCATAATTCCTTCTCCTTCATTTTCCTCTCGGGATCCTGGACATGCACACACATGCACCCGGCGTGTGTTTAAGCCGCCAGGTCTGGGACTCGAACCACGGTCGACTACGTGGGAGTCCAGCGACATAGCCATTATGCTAACTGCTGGTCCCCATATAACATTTTTTTGAGCTTCATTTTTTTTTTATTTCATTTTCTTTTATACAGTCAATCACATTATTTAGCTTATAAAGTGAATATTTCAATATGTGAACATTTCTCCCTAGTCCAGGTGATTAAACTCTAAAATATCTTTAACAAATAATACCAAATTTCTTTGCCCCATTAATATTTTGCTTGCCTATTTTTCTTCTAAATATCCTTCCTCAGGCCCTCCTCTTCCCCACACACTATATCTGGTATTTACACCCATTTACTGTGTTTGTATATCCTTTAGTCAATCAGTTTCAGTCATAGAGTGTGGACACTTGGTATATATTAAGTGGGGACATACAATACCCCTCTTTCATAGCCTGGCTTGCTTCACTGAGCAGTAAATCTTCCATATTCATCCACTTCCTGTCAAAAGCCAGGTTTTTTTTTTTTTTTTTTTTTTAATAGCTAAATAGTATTCCATAGAATATATGTGCCACAGTTCCTCTATCCATTCATCTGTTTGGGGGCATTTGGGTTGGTTCCATGTCTTAGCAATTGTGAATAGTGACGCAATAAACATTGATGTCCAAGCACTTTTCCAAAAAAAACTGGATTGCTTCACGAATGTGCGTGTCATCCTTGTGCAGGGGCCATGCTAATCTTCTCTGCATCATTCCAATTTAAATATATGTGCTGTCAAAGCGAGCACAACATTTTTTTTGTTTTTAGAGAAATTTTTTGCTACAAGGTACATGCACTCAACCATAGAGACAGAGTCAGAAAGTGAGAAATCATCCCTCAGGGGAAATGGCCCCACTGTATTTCCTCCTCCTCTATTTTCCTTTCTGGATCTTGGGCATGCTCACACATGCACATGCACCCAGCATTAGTTTTAAGCCACCAAGTCCGGCACTCAAACCATGGTCAACTATGTGGGAGTCCAGTGATATAACCATTAAGCCATCTCCTGGTCCTACATACAACAAAATTTATGACATTCTATTCCTGTCTTATATCAAGTAGAATTTTGTTTGTGAATTAGAGATTGACTCTTAACCTCTGTTCCCTTTCTCCAAGATTGAAGTCACTGTCCTTTCTGATTAAAAATTTAGGTCTTTTACAATCGACCCAAACCATACATTAATCTGCAAAGAAGTTCTCTGACTTGAATCAGAGTTGTGTAAAATCAAGAAAATAAAACAAAACAAAACTGGGCAACTTGTACATATGAATAGCTGTTGCATGCAAATACTAATGACAATTTTTAAAGTACTTGGAAACTAACTTTTTCAGTTTATGTTCTGCTCAAGATGTTTCAACATCCTCCTTAAGAATGTAGTTTTTAGAATTCTTCTATTTTTCTTTAGCATCCAACTCTGTGTTATTCCCTGTCTTCATCAGTAAATGGAGAGGCGGAGAACATTGCATTTGGGGAGATAATCCTAAACCATCTTGTCTGGGTTTGAAATCACCTCTACCATTTGTTAGCTCTGACAACTTGGGCATGTTACATGACACTTTTTGGGTTTTTAATTTCCTCATTTTTAAAATGAGTTGATAACATCTACCTCATGTATACTTTTGATGATGAAATGAAATTAAAAATATGCAAGTTGCTTAGCACAATGATACTACATGGAAAGTGCTGAGTAGGTGCTTGATAAGATTGCCATTATTCCATTATTACAGTCATTATTGTCATGATAATTATTATTATTAAGCAACATATACTCTGGTACCATGTTGTTAGGATGCAAAATGTCACAGCCAGCCAGCTAAAACAATGTTGCTATTTCTTATAGTTACTCTTATTGTAGTTTTAGCAATTCCATTCCCAGTTATTTACCCAAGAAAAGGAAAATATATGCTCACATAAGAAGCACACATAGGTATTTATATCTATTTATTCACATCTACCCTAAAGTGGTATCAATTGACCATTGACTAGTGGGTAGATGAGAAAATTGTGAAACATATATATATACAATGGAAATTCAATTGATAAAGAAAAAGAATGATCACAGATCCATATAATAATATGAACACACTGCCAAGGCTTTATGTTAAGTGAAAGAATCCAGAAAGAGAAGATTAAATATTATAAGATTTGATTTAAATGATGTTTTAGAGGGACCAGCAGTTAACGTAATGGCTATGTTGCTGGTCTCCCATGTAGTTGACCACGGTTCACATCCCGGACCCAGTGGCTTAAAACTCAGGCCAGGCACGTGTGCGTGCGTAACCAAGATCCCAAGAGGAGAATGGAGTAGAAGGGATTGCGACGTGACCATCCGCCCTGGGGGGTGATTTCTCGCTTTCTGTCTCTATGTCCCTCTCTGTCTGTCTGGCGAGTGCATGCACCCTATAGCGAAAAACCTCTCCAAAAAAAAAAAAATGATGTTCTAGAAATGGCCAAATTATAGAAACATAAATATAATCAAAATTTGACAGGGCGATGGCCACAATAAGGGAACCTTTGGGAATGATGAAAATATTCTGTACCTTCATTATGGTGACAATTACACTATTTTATATACACACATATGTATAAAACTTTATAGACATGTATAAATATATAATAATTTTATTGCATATAAATTACATCTCAATAGCCTCACTTAAAAAATGAAACCAGGGCTATGTACCTGTCAAGTTGCTATGGAAAAAACACGTGGAAACATTAGTAAGTCAGCTTCTAAGGGCCATATATATACTCCTTTGAAATAAAACACAGGCTATAACTGGAGTTTCTCGTTCATTCTAAAATTTTATGTCACATTTAGCTATGTCTACAAAAACTGTGGTTATTCATAAGGTGTTGTTTCCTGAGACAGGCTATAAAACCAGGAAAACTTGGAGGTAAGTATTCAAGGTCCAAGGTCCACAAGGCTTCAGTTATGCTCAAAGTTAAATCCTATCTCAATGCTCAGGCTCTGGGTCAGAGCATATGACTCATGAGGAAGAAGCCAGAAACTGTAATGTATTACAGGCTACAGATTATTGACAGAGGTCGGTCAACACCAGGGACAAAGCAGTTGTTCGTATTGCTGCTATTTGGAAGTACAATTATTTACTGAAGAATAGATGCTGAATAGCCAAAAGTGTGAGCTCTAGAAGATGCCTTGTTGGTTCTTTAAACTTTCATTCCAATTTGCTTCTATTTGCAGAGGCTGGAAATGTAAAAACTACATTTTTGGAGTCCCTTGAAACTAGGATTCTGGATATGAAAAGGTTTTTCCAGGTAGTTACACTTGCATGAGCTGTGTAAGACAGAGGAAGTGGTAATCATTTTTCTGCTGCTGTGGATAATTCAAATAAAGAACGGGTAGAGCTCAGAGTTTGCTACATGTGTCAGTGTCTAGTCATCAGCAGCTTGTCCTGAGAGCAAGCTGTGGAAGAACAAAGACCTGGTTTCCAAATCTCTAATCACAGCTACAGTATTCTTGATGCCCATGATCCAAGTGGTCCCCCAGTTTCACTGCTGCAAGCCTGTGAAGTAGTGTCTTCCATGTATTACACCCCTATCTTCCTGAAATAACACCAATATTTCGTTTTCTCCAATAAACCCTGACTAAAATACTACAGTAATGAAAAGTTTTAAAAGAGAATTAAAGTTAGGAATTCAACAGATTGATATGAACGTGGTACAGAAAAAGAAATAGTCATTTTTTAGGCAATGTAATGAAGATTGCCTTACATATGCATTTATTTGTATACATATTTCTTCTTTTATGTAGCCTAGATATTAATTTGCCCATTCATCTGTTTTTACTTCTGCTACTTGTGCTCTTGAGGTTTTATTCTAGAATCCTTTGCTCATACCAATATTCTGAAGTATTTCCCTGTTTTCTTCTGGTAGCTTCATACTTACAAGATTTTTTTCCTTCTGTATGGTGTGTGCACTCACTGGAGAGAGACAGGGGGAGACAGAGAGAGGAGAGGAGAGAGAGGTGAGAGAAAGAGAGAGAGAGAGAGAGAGAAAGAGAGAGAGAGAGCAAGCAGGCACAAAGATGGTCATGTCACGATCCCTTTTCCTCTAGTGTCTTGGAATTTGGCGCATGCATGCACACATGTTGGGTGTGTTTTTCAAGCTGCCAGGTTCGGGACTCAAGCAGCATAGCTGGTCATGTGGGATGCAGCTGTCTTAACTATTATGCAACCAACTGGCCCCACAGCTTTAAGATTTATATTTCAGTCTTTAATTCTTTTAGAATTGATTTTTGTGTGTGTGTGTGAGAGAGAGATATATGTCGGTCTAGTTTCATTGTTCTCCATATTGATGTCCAGTTTTCTCTGCAGTATGTAGGAAGAGAATGTCTTCTCTCTGACATTATCTTGGCAGCTGTGTCAAAAATCAGCTGACTCAGGCCCATCAGGTGGCATAGTGGCTAAGGTGCTGGACTCTCACATGGCTAATAATTGTTTGAGTCCCAGACCTGGTGACTTAAAAATCATGCAGGGTGCATGTGAACATGTGCCCCAAATCTCAGGAGAATGGAGGAGAAGGGGTTGCAGTGTGGCCACCTCTCTTGGAGGTGAGGTGATTTCTCACTTTCCCTCTCTCTGTCTTTATCTGTCTTTCTCCAGCTAGTGCATATACCCTATGGTACTACAAAACAAAACAAAACAAAACAAAACAAAACAAAACAAAAATCAGCTTACTCTATGTATGTGGGTTTATTTCTAGGTTCTCTGTTCTATTCTGTTGGTCTATGTGTTTGTTTTTCTGCCAGTATCAGCATCATGTAGGTTTTATTACTATGGCTTTATAGCATATTTGAAAATCCAGTTGTGTGATGCCTCAAGCTCTACTCTATGTCTAATTAAGAAGCCTTTATACATCAAAGGAAACAATCAACAGAGTGAAATGACAACCAACAGAAGAGAAGAAAATATTTGTGTACTAAACATCTAGCAAGGGATTAATAAACAAAATGCATTAGAAGCTCAAACAACTCAGTAGCAAAAAACAAATAAAAAGTGGGCAAATAATCTGAACAAACAGTTCTTAAAAGATATGCAAATGGTCAAAAACCATAAAAAAAATGCTCAGCATGACTGATCATTAGGAAAGTGCAAATCAAAACCATAAAATATCATCTTACTCTAGTTAGAATAGCTATTTTCAAAACAGACCAAAAATAACAAATGTTGGCAAGGATGTGGAGAACAGGGTACTCTTTACATGTTGGTGGGATTGTAAATTAGTATAACATATGGGAAACAGTATCATGATTCCCCAAGAAATTTAAAATAAAACTGTTATTTGATACAACATTTAAAAACTAGGCATATATCCAAAGGAAAGGACATCAGTATGTCATAAAGATATATGCCCAAAAATGTTTATCATAGCGCTATTCACAGTAGTAAAGACTTGGGAGCAATGTTCACATCCATCAATAGATGAATGAATGAAGAAAATGTGGAATATATACATAATGGAATACTATGTAGTCATTGAAAAGGATGAAAACTCATCACTGGAAGTTAAATGTGTGAGCCTAAATACATTATGTTAAACAAAATAAGCCAGATACTGAAAATAAAATATCACAGTATCCTTCATATAAGGAAACTGAAAAACATGACTTCATATAGAAATAGGGAAGAGATAGATGCTGGGAAGGATTGGATGGAGTGTATTGAAAGATAGTGATTTACAGAAACAAAATTGTGGATAGATAGGAGAGGAGGAGAATGTGGTGG